GATAAGGGTGTGGGAGTGGGGCAGATAACGGAGGGGGGAAGGTAAGGTGTGATATGACCGTGTGATTATTTAGCTCGTTATTGACTATTTCCATACCTGAGTAAACAAAGGGTGTTACAGGAGAGGATATGCTTACTTTGATAGTAAGATGGCTGGAGCGGGTCTTGATCTGAAATACTAAGTTTGATGAACATTGAACTAAGGCGGAGGACAGGAGTTGGAGCTCGGTAATTGCGTTTTCTTTACTTACTTAATTAGAAGTATGACTGCTTTATATTTTAGGGAAACTTATTAGGTATTAACGATGACATGAGATGGGATTAAAGTGGGGGACCGGAGCTGGAGCTCGGTAACTAAATTATTGTATTTTCCTATGTTAGAAATACATCGGTGTTAAATTTAAGAAAAATTGATCGGGTATTGAGAGAGTTGTAACAGTAAAGTAAGGCGGAGGACAAGAGCTGAAACTTGGTAGTTGTTTGGATCTATTTTACTACGTACAAAATATAGCGGTCTTAAATTTCAGGGAGATTGTACTGTCAGTAAAGAAGTTACGGGGTAAAGTAAGGCGGGGGTAAGATAAGCACCTCCAAAGGATACCTGATCAACCAGGCTGTGACTCATACGTCAGGCTGCGAGCAGCCGCGTCTAACAGCCTGGTTGATCAGTCCAGCAACCAGGAGGCCTGGTCGACGACCGGGCCGCGGGGACACTAAGCCCCGGAAGCACCTCAAGGTAGCCTCAAGGTAAGGACAAGAGATAAGAACTCAGTATGTGTTTTGTTTTATTTTATAGCGCCTGAAAATCAGCGGTCTTGAATCTCGAGGAAATTTATAATTTACTAACGAAGATATATAAGTAAAATAAGGCGGGGACAGGAGCTAGGACTGTTTAACTGCTTTGACCTTATTTACTTCATCTGAAACAGATATGTTTTAAATCTCGAGGAAATTAGTTGGATACTAACGAAGTTGTAATAGTAAACTAAGGCGGGGACGAGAGCTAGAGTTCGGTAACTATATTTTCTTTTCTTACTACGTTCGAAGTATGACTGTTTTAAATTACAGGAAAATTGATTGCTTAATAGCGAAACTACACTTATAAACAACTTACACTCTTGGACCCGTAAAGAGCTGGATCCAAGAGCTAACTTGTGATGAACAGTTAAAATATCTCCTCAAGTCTGTAGAGATTATATATATAACACCGCAGCGCGGATTAAAACTGTGAACAAATTTGGTCTTAATTCCTGTGAAACAGATGAAGATAAATGAGACTGAAATATTTGCCCTTGAACGAGACTCTGACTAATTTTGACATTGAACGAGACTGAAATGATTTGACTTTGAATGAGACGGTGACTATTTTTAAAAAATATCTGAAAACATATATCTAAACTTAGACAAAACTAAAAGTTATGGCTAAGATGTCTATTTTCCTTAACAAACTTCGAAGATATTTGACTTTGAACTAGACTCAGACTGTTTTTGACTTTGAACTAGACTCAGACTGTTTTTGACTTTGAACTAGACTCAGACTGTTTTTGACTTTGAACTAGACTCAGACTGTTTTTGACTTTGAACTAGACTCAGACTGTTTTTGACTTTGAACTAGACTCAGACTGTTTTTGACTTTGAACTAGACTCAGACTGTTTTTGACTTTGAACATGACTGACTATTTGTTAAAAAACATAAAAAATATTCTACACTAAGGCAAAAACTAAAAGTTATGACTAATAAGATGTCTATTTTCCTTAATAAATTTCTAAGAACATATTTTATAAAAATGGTCTTTTTTGACAAATTTATGTCTTAAACTCTTTAAAAAACGTATGTGATGTTATGAACTCTGAAATATTTTTATAAAAAGTGAATTCTGATAATTTTTTAATTTCTTCCATAAGAAACCTTCAAGAACGAATGAGTAAATTTTGCCTCGAATTTTCCCTATAAGAAAACTTTAAGGCAGAATGATTAAATTAAAAAAAACGAATATTTACTCATACGGGTTCATCCCTACTACTACCACTACTGTGGTGGTGGTTACCTGTGGTAGTGGTTATCTGTGGTGGTGGTTATCTGTGGTGGTGGTGTCTGTGGTGGTGGTTATCTGTGGTAGTGGTTATCTGTGGTGGTGGTTATCTGTGGTGGTGGTTATCTGTGGTGGTGGTGTCTGTGGTGGTGGTTATCTGTGGTAGTGGTTATCTGTGGTGGTGGTTATCTGTGGTGGTGGTGTCTGTGGTGGTGTTGGTGACTGTGGTGGTGGTTATCTGTGGTGGTGGTGGCTATCTGTGGTGGTGTTGGTGACTGTGGTGGTGGCTATCTGTGGTGGTGTTGGTGTCTGTGGTGGTAGTTATCTGTGGTGGTGTTGTTGTTGTTGGTGTCTGTGATGGTGTTGTTGGTGGTGGCTATCTGAAGTGTTGGTTAAGTATAAATTATCATCCTCTCCTACTCCCCTACTCTGGCCAGCCAGCAGTCCACTATTTCACCTAATTACGCGCAAAGTATGATATTATTTATTTGTTTAAGTTTCTATAATTATTTACACTACAGAAAAAAAGAGAGAAACGAAACTAAAATGTTAAATTCCGAGTTAATTATTATGATACTGCAAATTTAGTCAAGAGGGGATTGTATTCGCATTATGTCACGCGGCACTCGTTCAATTACAGCGCCCGCAACCCGACCCTGTTGGGCACATACCCAACACCAATTAGTGTTAATTGTTATTAAGTATGTGCACTGATTCCCAACACCAAGTAGCTCACAGACACTCTCACCATCAGACAATCACAGATTTACCGGTAAACACACACAAACCTTCACATGCGCGTTCACAGATATAATGGATTCAATCAGTCATGCTCACAGACACACTCAAAGATTCACTCACAGTCATTCTCACAGATATATCCCCAGGCACACTCACAGACACGCTCTCAGACAAGGTGGTGAGGCTATTGACTCAAGTTTCGCAGCTTTCATAAGGATGTATCTCATATCAAATCTCGCATATCACTCATTTCTTTCTTTCCCTCAAGTCTTCGTTGTGGAAGGTCAGCAGGCTCAACAAGGATTACTGACGTTGCAACATTTTAATACAACCCTCAGCATGTATTCATGATCTCTTCCAAGAGAGAGACAACATTAGAGATCATGAGTCCTGAGAGTACTATCCTTCCTTCTCCAACCCAGGAATGGGAGTAGTTGTACTTTAGACATTGTACTTGCCTCGAGTCCAAGCGTGGGCTTTGACTCTAGGCAAGTACAATGTCTTGAGCCAGAATGATGTTGTGATCACAGATCGCTCCACCTCTCCTTAACTGTTGACACCAAGCCAGTGGTGCCGCCTCTCGTCCTAACTGTTGGTACCAGTGGCCCTCTACACCTGGCCAGTGGTGCCTTGCCTTTGACAACCACAGAAGGCTCCTCCTCTATGATAGGCTCGTCTAAACTACTGTGCCTGCTGTAGGCCGTGGAGACACTGTAAGCTGGCTCTGACTGCAGCAGGCAGTGAAGACACTGTAAGCTGGCACTGACTACTGCAGGCAGTGGAGACACTGTAAGCTGGCTCTGACTACTGCAGGCAGTGAAGACACTGTAAGCTAGCAGTGACTGCAAGTCACAGGCTTATGAAAACTGATTGCAGTTAATTTCATATTGGTTAACTTAAATAATATTGGAATCCAGTTCCTATATTCATCCTGACCCCGTTCCTACAGCCGACCCCCAGGATGGGGGCGTCCGGGGTTCCACCACAAACCCAAGGATCCGAAGTTTGGGGTCCGCCACCGACCCCAGCATAGTCTGGGGTCCGACACTGACCCCAGCATAGTCTGGGGTCTGCCACCGACCCCAGCATAGTCTGGGGTCTGCCACCAACCCCAGCATAGTCTGGGGTCTGCCACCGACCCCAGCATAGTCTGGGGTCCGACACTGACCCCAGCATAGTCTGGGGTCTGCCACCGACCCCAGCATAGTCTGGGGTCCGACACCGATCCCAGCATAGTCTGGGGTCCGACCCCAGCATAGTCTGGGGTCTATCACCGACCCCAGCATAGTCTGGGGTCTATCACCGACCCCAGCATAGTCTGGGATCTATCACCGACCCCAGCATAGTCTGGGGTCTATCACCGACCCCCAGCATAGTCTGGGGTCCGACACTGACCCCAGCATAGTCTGGGGTCTGCCACCGATCCCAGCATAGTCTGGGGTCCGACACCGATCCCAGCATAGTCTGGGGTCTATCACCGACCCCAGCATAGTCTGGGGTCTATCACCGACCCCAGCATAGTCTGGGATCTATCACCGACCCCAGCATAGTCTGGGGTCTATCACCGACCCCCAGCATAGTCTGGGGTCTGCCACCAACCCCAGCATAGCCTGGGGGTCCGCCACCGACGGACCCCCAGGCTATGTCTGAGTTCCGCCACTATCCCCAGAATAGAGTGGGGTCAGCCACCGACCCCAGGATAGTCTGAGTTCCGCCACTATCCCCAGGATAGAGTGGGGTCAGCCACCGACCCCAGGATAGTCTGAGTTCCGCCACTATCCCCAGGATAGAGTGGGGTCAGCCACCGACCCCAGGATAGTCTGAGTTCCGCCACTATCCCCAGGATAGAGTGGGGTCAGCCACCGACCCCAGGATAGTCTGAGTTCCGCCACTATCCCCAGGATAGAGTGGGGTCAGCCACCGACCCCAGGATAGTCTGAGTTCCGCCACTAGTCCCAGGATAGAGTAGGGTCAGCCACCGACCCCAGGATAGGTCTCGTATCCACAATAAACTAATCAAAGAACAGAATACTTTGCAACAAACGTTTCATTAAGTGTTTTAGTAACTTTAGTAAACTTTTAGTAAGTTTAGTAAATACTTGAGTATTTTTTACCCCAAAATTTATATTTTGCCTCAGGATAGCGGTACAAGTCCAAAACTTTTCCTACAGACAGTAGAAAAGTCATTATCCAAGTCTAGCAGCCAACTTTCTGGAGTGGGACTTACCTTGATGGGGTCGAAGTCGGACTTGAGTGTGACATTGGCACAGTTGCCATACTCGAGGAAGGGAGGTATACCCAGAATGGTTTGGGCCTGGGGCACCACACTCACCACCACCACCACCACACACCACACTACCTGGCAGGGGGCCACAACACCCATCTCTCTCCTTTTTCCTAAACTGTTGATGACTTTCCCTAGTGAGTGTTGAGTGAGAGCAGTGGAGGCACTCGTAGGGGGAGTGAGGAGAGTGCCAGGCCAGGGGGGGGGGGGGAACAGTGAGTGTCGTGCAAGGAGACACTCTTGAGTGTGTGGTGTGGGAGGCACTCCTGAGTGCGTGGCGAGCGAGAGACCGAGTGCGTGGTGCGAGTGACACAGCAGGAGTGAGGAACATCTCGTCTACCCTCACCTCAATGCCTTCCCAATCATCTCTATGGCCTCACCTCCCGCCCTCACCACACCCCACCCCACCCAATCCCCCACCACACCCACCTAACCCCACCTAACCCCACCACACCCACCTACAGAAGACAGAAGACCTCGGGGAGACATGATCACAACATACAGGATTCTCAGGGGAATTGACAGGGTAGACAAGGATGGATTATTTAACACGGGCGGGACACGAACAAGGGGACACAAGTGGAAACTTAATACCCAGATGAGCCACAGAGACGTTAGAAAGAACTTTTTCAGTCTCAGAGTAGTAAGTAAATGGAAGAATGCACTAGGAAGTGATGTGGTAGAGGCTGACTCCATACACAGTTTCAAATGGAGATATGATAGAGCCCAGTAGGCTCAGGAACCTGTACATTAGTTGACTGACAGTTAAGAGGCGGGACCAAAGAGCTAAACTCAACCCCCGCAAGGACAACTAGGTGAGTACCTAACCCCACCCCACCTCACAAAAATTTAAAAGAGAGTTATTTCGAACGTATTAAAAAAACTATAGTTAATTACAGAACTCCAGCTCTTGTCCTCCGCCTTAGTTCCATGCCTATATTTCCCTACCAACAGCCCAATTTTCACTGAATTTAAAACAGTTATATTTCATATGTAGTAAATAAGATCAAAACAGTTTCCGAGCTCTGGCTCCTGGTCTCCGACCTCGTTCTCTCTTACAATTGTTTTACTATCAACGTGATATTTTATATTCTGTTTGGCAATAAATCCTCTAATCAAATAAATCTCAAAATAAACAATACCCAAATTTGTAACAAATTAGATGGCAAATTCCTTGGCATTCTCATTGACCACAAGCTTAATTTCCAGGGTCACATTCTAAACATATCAAAAAAAGTTTCAAAAACTGTGGGCATTCTTTCTAAGATCAGATATTATGTACCACGCCCTGCCCTGGTGACTCTCTATTACTCCCTTATCTATCCATATCTCAACTATGGTATTTGTGCTTGGGGCTCTACTACCCAAAATCACTTACGTCCTCTAATTACTCAACACAAAGCTGCTATTAGGACAATATCCAATTCTGGCCCCAGACATCACTCGGTACCCCTACTTAAATCTCTGAATATGTTAGACATTAAGTCACTGCACATTCTCTCATGTGTATTATACATATATAAAACGCTAAACTATAATGCCAATCCTGATCTCAAAAGCTTCATAGAAAGTTGTATCAGAACCCATGAGCATCACACCAGAAATAAATACAGTTTTGATATTCCTAGAGTACGACTTAATCAAACTAGAAATGCTCTACAAATCAAGGGGCCCAGAATGTGGAATGACCTTCCCAACCATGTTAAAGACTGTACCTCTCTCAACCAGTTTAAGTTAAAAGCGAAGCTATACCTAATAAATTCCCTGTAACCTACCTTACCCTTCTATTGTCAACCAATGTCTGTTTTTTTCTTTAAAGAGCGCTGTTTGTCGACATAATTGTATTTGTGCTGCTTTTTCATCTATGTTTTCATTTCTTGTTTTCATTCTACTCATTATGCTCAATTAGTATTAAGCTTGTCATTTAAGTTTATCATGCCCGAAACGCTTTGCGTAATAGTGGCTTTAGGCATTGTATGTACTAGCTCTACCTATAAGTCAACCAATCCTTGTAAATATTTATTGTATGTATGTACCTTACCTAAATAAAATTGTATTGTATTGTATTGTGATTTTCACTAAAACTGAAAAGTCCCAGGGATAACATGGTAGTCCCAGGGATAACATAGTAGTCCCAGGGATAACATAGTAGTCCCAGGGATAACATAGTAGTCCCAGGGATAACATAGTAGTCCCAGGGATAACATAGTAGTCCCAGGGATAACATAGTAGTCCCAGGGATAACATAGTAGTCCCAAGGATAACATAGTCGTCCCAGGGATAAAACATAGTAGTCCCAGGGATAACATAGTTGTCCCAGGGATAACATAGTAGTCCCAGGGATAACATAGTAGTCCCAGGGATAACATAGTAGTCCCAGGGATAACATAGTAGTCCCAGGGATAACATAGTAGTCCCAGGGATAACATAGTAGTCCCAGGGATAACATAGTAGTCCCAAGGATAACATAGTCGTCCCAGGGATAAAACATAGTAGTCCCAGGGATAACATAGTTGTCCCAGGGATAACATAGTAGTCCCAGGGATAACATAGTAGTCCCAGGGATAACATAGTAGTCCCAGGGATAACATAGTAGTCCCAAGGATAACATAGTAGTCCCAGGGATAACAGTAGTCCCAGGGATAACATAGTAGTCCCAAGGATAACATAGTAGTCCCAGGGATAAAACATAGTAGTCCCAGGGATAACATAGTTGTCCCAGGGATAACATAGTAGTCCCAGGGATAACATAGTAGTCCCAGGGATAACATAGTAGTCCCAGGGATAAAACATAGTAGTCCCAGGGATAACATAGTTGTCCCAGGGATAACATAGTAGTCCCAGGGATAACATAGTAGTCCCAGGGATAACATAGTAGTCCCAGGGATAAAACATAGTAGTCCCAGGGATAACATAGTTGTCCCAGGGATAACATAGTAGTCCCAGGGATAACATAGTAGTCCCAGGGATAACATAGTAGTCCCAGGGATAACATAGTAGTCCCAGGGATAACATAGTAGTCCCAAGGATAACATAGTAGTCCCAGGGATAACAGTAGTCCCAGGGATAAAACATAGTAGTCCCAGGGATAACATAGTAGTCCCAGGGATAACATAGTAGTCCCAGGGATAACATACTAGTCCCAGGGATAACATAGTAGTCCCAGGGATAACATAGTAGTCCCAAGGATAACATAGCAGTCCCAAGGATAACATAGTAGTCCCAAGGATAGCATAGTAGTCCCATGGATAACATAGTAGTCCCAAGGATAACATAGTAGTCCCAAGGATAACAGTAGTCCCAAGGATAACAGTAGTCCCAAGAATAACACAGTAGTCCCAGGGATAACATAGTTGTCCCAGGGATTATGTAGTAGGCCCAGGAATAACATAGTAGTCCCAGGGATAACATAGTAGTCCCAGGGATAACATAGTAGTCCAAAGGATAACATAGTAGTCCCAAGGATAACATAGCAGTCCCAGGGATAACATAGTAGTCCCAGGGATAACATAATAGTCCCAGGGATAACATAGTAGTCCCAGGGATAACATAGTAGTCCCAGGGATAACATAGTAGTCCCAGGGATAACATAGTAGTCCCAAGGATAACAAAGTAGTCCCAAGGATAACATAGTAGTCCCAGGGATAACATAGTCGTCCCAGGGATAACATAGTAGTCCCAGGGATAACACAGAAGTCCCAAGGATAACATTGTAGTCCCAGGGATAACATAGTAGTCCCAGGGATAACATAGTCGTCCCAGGGATAATGTACTAGTCCTAGGGATAACATAGTAGTCCCAAGGATAACATAGTAGTCCCAGGGATTATGCAGTAGTCCCAGGAATAACATAGTAGTCCCAGGGATAACATAGTAGTTCCAAGGATAACATAGTAGTCCCAGGGATAACATAGTAGTTCCAAGGATAACATAGTAGTCCCAGGGATAACATAGTAGTCCCAAGGATAATAGTAGTCCCAAGGATAACATAGTAGTCCCAAGGATAACATAGTAGTCTCAAGGATAACATAGTAGTCCCAAGGATAACATAGTAGTCTCAAGGATAACATAGTAGTCCCAGGGTTAGCATAGTAGTCCCAAGGATAACATAGTAGTCCCAATAATAACATAATAGTCCCCGGGATAACATAGTAGTCCCAGGGATAACATAGTAGTCCCAGGGATAACATAGTAGTCCCAGGGATAACACAGTAGTCCCAAGGATAACAGTAGTCCCAGTAATAATATACTAGTCTCTGGGATGATATAATAGTCAAAGGGATAGCATACACCAGAGAAGACACTTGTCCCAGGGATAACACCCTAGTCATTATAGTGATAACAATAATAATAATAATAATAATAATAATAATAATAATAATAATAATAATAATAATAATAATAATAATAATAATAATGCACAAAGAAATCACAATAATGTGATGAATCAATGAGAACAGTGACTAGTTTTGTCACCAAAAAAGGTGACACCCCGTGTGTCAACACCGGCAACATTGGGGCTCCAGGATATTTCACAATTCCTAATTTTTGTAGACCAGGGTAATGATAGTGAGAGGTGTCCGTAGGATCATACAGGTGTTGTGCTTTGGAAAAATAGGCGAGATAACAGGAATGTGCCAGGGGGGAAAGTGAATAAATTGGATGAGAAAAAATTGCCCTAGTGTTTACAGTGCGGACGACGGAATTCAAGATGGCCGCTGGCAAGAAAGAAAAACAAAACAGAGCTAGAGTTTGGTGGTTTGAATGAAGAAAGCATTGATATAAGCAGTCTATACAACAGGATGGCAAAATTAGATTTTATAGTGAACTCTCATGTAAAAATAATCAGCAAATTGAGAGATAGTGATGACCACTTGAGTAGCAAAGTATTAGGTCTTGAGGGGTTAGTGAAAGACTTATACAAGGAAAAGAATAAATTTGAAACAAATTGAAAAGCCATGGAAGAGGAAAACAAACTCTTGAAAATAGCATTGGAAGAAGTTAAAGCAAATTTATACGTAAATGACTACAATAGGTTAGGTAAGGAAATTCAACAGGAAAAACAGCTTTTGTCAGAACAGATGGTGGAAGTTACACAGGGAATAGAACAGTGCAAGAAGGATATGCATCTCACCTATACACAAGTGGCAAGGGAAAGGAAAAAAATAGAGGAAACAATAAAAGAAGCCAAACACTGCAGCAACCAGGATATAACACACATTAGGCTGCAAGTCAGAAAGGAACTGGCATCAAAACGGAAATTGGTGCAAAACACAGTTGATCAGAGTAAGTCCCTAATAATTTTTGTTTGCAAAGAAAAGG